CCTGCCCCGGCGCCTACCCGACAAGGTGCTGGCCGCCGCGGCGGCGGCGGCGGGGCCTGCGGGGCCTGCGGGGCGGGCGGCCGGGCCCGGCCAGGCCGCGATGGCGACCAAGAAGGCGGGCTCGCGGCTGGAGACGGAGATCGAGCGCTGCCGCTCCGAGTGCCAGTGGGAGCGGATCCCCGAGCTCGTCAAGCAGCTGTCGGCCAAGCTCATCGCCAACGGTACGCGCCGGGCGCGCCGGCCTGGGCTGCGGGGGGCGCCGCGGCCTCCGCGGGAACGGGCCCCCGAGGCGCGGCTGGCCACGGGGCGCTGGCAGGGGCGCGGCCGGGCCGCGAGGGAGCCGCGGCCCAGGGGATGTGCGCGGGGCCGGGGCCTGGGGGAGCCCGGGTGTCCCGAGTCACGCGGTGTGGGGGCCAGGGGCTGTGCCGGCGTCTGGGGTTCAAAGGTGCAGGGAGGGCTTCTGCGGAGTCTGGAGTGTCGGGGAGGGGGTCTCAGCGAGTCCGCTGCTCCACTGGGACCCTAGGAGGTTAGGGACCGGCCTGGGGCTTCTAAGAAGTTAGAGGTGATGAGGGTCAAGGGGGTCCCTCAGGACATGGGTGAAGTCAGTGTGTATAGGGTTTGCTCAGGGAATCAGGATGTGTTTATGGGGGTCTGGAGAATGGGGTGTTGAATGAACACAGTATGGGAAATCTGGTTTGTAAACATACGATGTTTAAGGGGCTCTGGGTGGAAGCGCAGACTCGGGGTGTGTGGGGTGGTGGTGGAAGGCAGGTTGGGATGTGTGTCCCGGCGTTCAGAGAAGTAGTATCAAGGCTGCCGACCCGAGAGGTCAGGGTTGGGAACAGAGGAGAAATCGAGCCAGGGGAACCTGGAGGGTGAAGATTGTGGAGCGAGGTGGGAATGTGGGTGAAGAAGGTTGAGAGATGGAGTTGGGTGGGTGCCTGGGCCAGAAGGGGGTCTGAGGCGGCCTCTGACTAGGAGCCTCCTGCCTGGAGTTGGTCCATGACCTCTTTCACTGAATTGGTTCTTGTACCCAATCAAATCAAAATTACATCCAGAATCCCATTCCAGTGCACAGCTCCACGTGGCCTTATTTGTTTTGGAAGCCAGTATCTTTAATATTTGCTTGTCTTTTAGTACCCGCCCAAAGCACAGGCACCAGCGCACAGTGGCCAGAGGGCAGAGGGTTTGTCTCATTTCATCCTGGGCTTCCCCAGGCCGGGTGAGCACATGTTGGCCGAACGAATGAATGAAAGAGTGAATGAATGGTTGGCGGCACTGCTCTCAGGAAGGACATCTGCACTACTTTCAACCTTCTCACTTCAGACTGCTCAGAAAGGAGAGGGATGTCACCTGGAGGGTGGTTTATGTTTGTGTCCTACGGTATTAGTGCCTGGAAATTAGAACTTGGTTTTGTGCACTCTCAATGATGGACGTGTGCTGTGGGCAGGTATCTTCTGGGTGAACGCAGGTGCCATGGTGGTGTCAAGGGCGTGGAGATAGCACAGACCCTATCTGGGCTCCACTTGATGGAAAATGTGGACTCTTCTCAGTTATGTCACCCTTTGAGGAAATGGCGTTCAGTCCTGGGCTCCAGAGGCAGCTTCCCCTCGCCCTCTGAGCAGGGCTCACCAGCTTCTCCGCTTACCTGCAGCATTTTCTCTTCTCTTGGAGTTGCACAGTCTTGGCTCTACTTTGTGACTTCCCAGCTGTGTAGGCAGAATGATGCCTCTGTGCAGGTTGATGTTAGGATTAAATGGATTTCCTTGTGAGCCGCCTGGTCTTTTTCCTTCTGAATCCACGTGTTTCCTGCTGTCTTTCCTTATTCATTCACCCAATATTTGCGTGCCCACCTGTGCCAGTCACAGAACAGTGGTGAACAGCACTGACCAAGCCCCTGCCCTCCTGCCCTCACCCTCGTCTCAGAAGGAGGTAGATGATAAGCAAATATGGAAATAAATAAACAGCACAGCTTCAGATAGTGAGAAGTGATTGAAACAAAACAGATGAGTTAATGTGATTGAGAATGACACACAGATGACAGGGGACTCAAGCTATGGTGATCCCTGGAATGAGAGGGTAGATGGGTTTTTGGTGGCCTGGGCCTTTCCTCCTCACCTTCATGGCCCCTGAAAGGCTCAGCTGTCTTCCCAGGGGCTGCTCCCAATGGCCTAGGATGCGGTCATGAGTGGGCCTCGGGAGTGGGGTTTGCAGGGGCACTGTGGTCCATGGATCTGTGTGCAAGTTCAGTTTGGGGAAACTCATGGGAGATAGATTTTTGTGCCAGAGACTCACATGGTGAGTGGTAGCCTTGGACGGCAAAAAGTTACCCAGGCTTGAAAAGATCAGAGAGAGGGAGTGTAGGAAAATAAAACGATGAAGTCAAGAAAACAATGAAACCAAACCAGAATGATTGTGGCTCTCCTTTGGTGTTCAGGGGGTTGTTTGCAGGAGGGGCCTTTCCTTCCTTTGACTGGAGGCTTTCCCACTTTCGGGCTGGCTGAGAGACTTCTTCCTGGCTTTCGGGGCACCAGCTCCCCCATAGATTCTCAGGTGCATGAGCACAAGTTCTGGGCAGATTTTGCAAAATCCTGAAGTTAAAGCATTTGCTGCTTAGAATGAGGAAAGCAACTGAATGCCATGTTTGTCATACTAAGACAGTTACCTTGAAAACAACCACAGGAAAAAAAAAAAAAGAAAGAATACAGTGTTTGGAACCAGCCAGCCAGGGGCCTGATTCTTGTGACCTTGGCCACTTCTTGACTTGGTGACATTGGCCAAATCACTTAACCACTCTGATCCTCATTTTTCTCATTTTACAATGGGATTTAAATGACTTACCTTGCAAGGGTTGTTATGAGGATTAAGGTAGCTACTATCTCTCAGAGCCAGCCACTCCCTCCCCTTCCTTCCTTCCTTCTTTCCTTCCTTCCTTCCTTCCTCCCTCCCTCCCTCCCTTCCTTCCTTCCACAGAGAGCGAGTCCCTGCTCTGTGCTAGCCACTGTTTGAGGCACTGGAAATACACCAGTGAACAAAACAGACAAAAATGGCAAAAATCTCAGTCCTTTTGAAACTCACATCCCAGTAGGGAAGGGGCTGGGAGACAGATAATCAATATAATCATTAGGTAAAGTTTACAGGGTGTCAGATGGTGGTCAGTGCTATCAGAAGAGGAAAAAGGGGAAGGGGTATAGGTGCTTTCAGGATGCGCTGGGAGTGCGGGATGCAGGAACTAGTTTAAATAAGGTGGCCGTGGAAGGCCTCCCCAAGAAGGCAACATCCGAGATGACACTTAAGGAGGCGAGAAATGTGTCCTAGGGAGGGGACTTCAAGGGCAGACAGTGGCGGGGCCTTGTAGGCCCTGGGTAAGGCTGTGGCTTTCCTCTGAGATGGGGCTGCAGGAGAGTTCTGAGCAGAGGAACCCTCCTTTCCAAAGCTCCCCCTTGCAGTGGGCTTCCCCACCCAGCAGCATTAGCTCCTTACGGGAAGGAAGCGCGGCAGCCCCTCCCATTCAGGACTCTACATAGTGGACGCTTTCCGAGTGTGCTGCCCCAGCCCAGCTCCTTTGAGATAAATTGGTTTAGACATTTTGCCAAGGGGTGGATAAGGAAGAAAAGGACAAATGCCAAGTTGAAAACAACCTAGAAATCCATCTTCTGCCTCTACCCTGCTGTAGTCACCGTTCTCATTGCACCATCTCAGAAAGCTCCCATGTGGTGGTAGCTAGCTGTGCACCAGGCCTGGGTGAATCCCAGGAGAGAATGGTCACCTAAGTTAAGGGTTGTGGGGAGGTAGTCCCCCTGAAGCCTAGGCCTCGTGACCACCATCTGACACCCTGAAGCGTGGACCGGGGACAAGTGGCGTGGGCGTCACCCGGGAACCTGTGAGAAATGCAGATTCTTGGGCTTGCTTCAGACGTGGGGTTAGAATCCACATCTCAGCAAGGTGTCCAGGGGCTTGGGGGACACGGGAAAGCCTGAGGTGCCCTGGCCTGGAGCTGAGGCAGCAGCGCGGGCGCTCAGGAGTGAAGACGGAGAACCGCACACCGACTCCGTTTGGCTCACAGGTTGGTCCTCGTCCCTGGGAGGACAGGCCCAGCTGCCCTCTCTCTCCAGAATGTCACCCTCTAGCTTCCCAGTGATGAGGTCTGGAGCATTTTCCACTGTGTGTGAAAGTGCAGGGACCTGGCACCTGGGCTACAATTCGGTTTTTACCTGCAGAGGCTGGGTGACCTCTGGCCCGTTTCTTAGCCTCTCGGAGCCTGCCTTTCCTCCCTGCTCAGCCAGGGCTCGGCATGCCCACTCTCCCACGGCGCCTGTGAGGATTCAGTGGGCTGATACATGTCAGCCAGGGCACATGGTCATAACGGGGTTGGTTCCCTTCTGCTGACCCCGTGTGACCCTGGGCAAGGAAGGCCAAGTCGCAGCTATCAGCCTGCAGGGGAGAAAGAGAGTGGGGACCTAGAAATGACATGCTTGAGCTAGTGCCCTGTCAAGACCCAGCATATCTCAGTGACACAAGCAGGCACTTGGGAGGTCTGCGCCCGCCCTGACGGACAGCCGCTCCCTTTTCTGGGGCGGGGTGGCTTCCCTCCTTCCCCAGCCTGCTAATCTTCTTAGGCAAGCTCAGTTCCCATAGAAAGAATAGGCCCCAAATGGTAGCTTCTCCCTGAGGAGATCATTGCCTGTTGGATGCTATAAGATTTTGAGACGTTTTAATTACCTCTTGGTGACGGGTAGGTAGGGAACTGGTGCGGGAAACAAGGAATATTTCTGGGGCAAAGTTTGGTAGGCAAATGTATTCAGCCCATGAAGAGGGTGTGGAGATCCGTGCTGTTTTAAGTGTGGTGTCTACAGCAATGTGGCTTCCCCTTGGTGGGGGGTGCAGGGTGCTGGGCTCCTGGACGCCCCCCGGGCTCATGCACACCTCCCATGAAGGAGAGGAGTCGGGTGGACTGTAGTCCTCCTTGGCTGGCCGGAGGGTCTCCTGGGGAAACAGGACAGAGGTTTAACTGAGAGTCTCTGCTGTGGGGTGAGGTGGCCCTGTTGCTCAGAGGTGGCTTCTTTGGACATGCCTGGGGCACCACAGACTTCTGGGAACCCAGCTGCTCCCCTCTGCAGGGAAGGACACCAGTGAGACCTCCCATGACCCTCCATTTTGGCCTTTCCAGGCTGGTCTTCCTGCTTTCAAATACTCTGTCCTGTTGTCCCCAGAAGACCAC